TATATCAGTCTTAAAGGTGCGGTAGTAAAAACAGTGAAGATGGGAAATAGTCATATAAAAATGAATTCCAACTGGTTTTGGTACATAAAAGCACACAGGCCTCATTTGTGGTAACCAGAGCGGAAGATAAAGTACAAGAAAATTGAGTGAAGTACACAGAACCTTTAAATATACCAACTCAGCATTTCAGGAAGTTCAGTTCAGAAGCCTGAAACGGTTATCAGATATAATCTTAGCTTTCTCTGCTGTGCATTGGGTAATGTCTAGATTTTTACCTCATTTTTAGTGGATTATGTGCTGAAGTTTCAAGTTGCATAAGTTGTATTACATGACTGTTAGCTTTCTGCTACTGACCACTTCTTGGTTTCAGTCACGGTATGAAAAGTTTTATGTCAGATTCCTTGTGTCTTTTATTGTACATGCACTAAACATTAGCTAAGTAGAATAAAAGGGACTGAATTACGGTCAGTGCAGTAAAACGACCGACTTCCATTAGTTTGAAAGCTGAGCGCAATGCATTTCAACTGCACCAACATCACAGGTTGAAAAATACACCATATGGGCCCTTTAAAGCTCAACACATTCTGCATGCCGTGCCTGGCTTCAGCCTTGGGCTGTGTTTTGGGCGCGTCTTGTTCAGATTAAGCTTGAAACCTGTTTTAAGGTCGTTCTGTAAATAGAAGTTATGGTGTTTATGTGGGCTTAACTTGTTAAAGAATGCCTGCGAACATATTTTACATGTTAGTATTAATGCTAAGTCCAGTTCATTCTCTGCTCATTGCTACCATTTATTTACAGCAACACCTCTACAGACTGAGATCAGAGAACCAGCACTATTCTTAGTTCTCTTAAAAATCCCCTCTAGTGTTACAGGATGTGTTGTTTAACCTGTGAGAACGTAAGAGAGTGAGGAGCCCTGTCTGGTTTGTTTGCCTATGGGTGGGTGAAAGGGTGGGACGACATCATCTGAGTGCCATGCATATTAGAGCAAGATTAACTATCCCTGTGCACCAAAAATACCTGCTTGTCAGTTTAAATTAACATAAACTCAGCCTAATATTTGTCTTATATGTGGCCTAGTATTGCATGTTAGCCTGCTTTTCTATATACGTCCACATTTTGGATGTAATGTGTTGAATCAACACAGTTTTGTCTTTCGGTGCTGTTGCTGTTTGAAGGGGAATTGTCATTAAAGTTAAGTTCAGTTTATTTTCCCTGTTCAGTGTTAGCATTTAGAAGGATAGATAGATAGATAGATAGATAGATAGCAAGCAAGCATTTGACTGCAGATCAAGAGGTCCCTAGTTGAAATCTGGGTGCCCCCTTACCTCAAAACCATAGAATATAATGCTTGGTCCAAAAGCAAAGGTTTTAGGGGGCAGTCGTGGGCTGGAGGTCAGGGAACGAGCCTTGTGACCGGAAGATTTGCCAGTTCAACCCCCTCGGCTGACAGTACGTGACTGAAGTTCCTTTGAACAAGACACCCAACCCCCAACTGCTCTCCGGGCACCGTGGATAGGGCTGCCCATCGCTCTGTGCAAGTGTGCTCACTGCCCCCTAGTGTGTGTTTGTGTGTTCACTAGTGTGTATGTAGTGTTTCACTGCACGGGTGGGTAAAATGCGGAGGTCTAATTCCGATGTGTTCAGACACAGTTGGCTAAAAAGGTTCATATAGATAGATAGATAGAAATTGCAGTGTTTCGTTAGACATATAATTACACAGTAACTTACATATGCTATACAGAAAATAAAAAATAGGCATAAGTTAACGTATAAGAGAGTAGAATTAAAATATATCTATTTGCATATTTACATAGCATATGAGACAGATTTGTTGTATTTACATGATAGCACTGAGTGGTATGAGGGAAACTAAAAGCATAATGATTATAGACATAACTAACTAGGAGTTGCAGCAATATTACAGTGTAAAGTGCGCAGTGAAAGTGTCATTGCAGTAGCACTATTCTTAGTTCTCTTAAAAATCCCCTCTAGTGTTACAGGATGTGTTTGACCTGTGAGGACGTAAGAGAGTGAGGAGCCCTGTGCAGTTTGTTTGCTTATGGGTGGGTGAATGGGTGGACACAGACAAAATGATGATTCTCAGCACTGCAGTAACACTGGATCAGACACAGCAGTGCTGCTGGAGTTTTTAAACACCTCAGTGTCACTGCTGGACTGAGAATAGTCCACCACTCAAAAATATCCAGCCAACAGCGTCCTGTGGGCAGCGCCCTGTGACCACTGATGAAGGACTAGAGGATGACCAACACAAACTGTGCAGCAGCAGATGAGCTATCGTCTTTGACTTTACATCTACAAGGTGAACTGACAAGGTGGGAGTGTCTAATAGAGTAGACAGTGAGTGGACACAGTGTTTAAAAACTCCAGTAGCACTGCTGTGTCTGATCCACTCGTACCAGCACAACACACACTAACACACCACCACCACGTCAGTGTTACGGCAATGCAGAGAATGATCCACCACCCAAATAGTACCTACTCTGTGATGGTCCATGGGGGTCCTGACCACTGAAGAACAGGGTAAAAGGGGGCTAACAAAGTATGCAGAGAAACAGATGGACTACAGTCTGTAACTGTAGAACTACAAAGTGCACCTATATAGTAAGTGGAGCTGATAAAATGGACAATGAGTGTAGAAACATGGAGGTGGTCATGATGTTGTGCCTGATCGGTGTACGTACGGAATAAACCTAAATCAAGTTCTGCATATTAATTCTGCATAAAAAAACACAAATAAAAAATGTTCTCATGCAAATTGCACCTGGACGTTGCAATTGGTTGGGATGATTTCACACAACAAGTAGTGAACATGGTGAAGGTGAAGGAGCTTCCTAAAGTTCCCATCAACAACATAATTATACAGCACTCGAATAGAAGAAGTTACAGAGCCAGTGCAACTGGTTCAATAATATGCAGTTGGAAAGTTCACGCTACCATAATTAATCATACTTAAACGGGCAAGGTTTCTCTCAGACTTATGATAAGGAATGCAAGAGAGAAGCCAGCAGTCGCTCGAAAAGAGTTGCAGGACAATACAAAGTTACTCAGAGAATAATAAGCACCGCAATCATGTCCGTTACTACACCCCATGCAAAACTCCTCTCCCAAAAACAAAGCACATGCGCGTCTGAAATTTGCACACAGGCATTTAGGCAAATCTGGAACAATGTACTCTAGTCAGACAAAACAAAAATAGACTATAATTCAGCTCGTCGTTTGGAGAAAGGATTACGTGTATGAGCCCAAGAACGCTCACAGTGAAGCATGAAGGTGGCAGCATCATAATATGGAGCTGCTTCCCTGCAAATGGTACTGAAGCATTACATCCCTCTGAAGGAAACATGAATGGAGGGATGTGCCAGGAGATATTAGAGGAGAATTTAATCTCAGTGGGCAAGAAACTGAATCTGAGGAGATGATGGAGGTTTCAGCAAGACAACTCCCCCAAACATACATCCAAAATAACTCAGGACTGGTTTCTAAAGAAGGTGAAGGTGCATGCAGGGCCTAGCTAAGCTCCTGACTTGAGTCCTATTGACAATTTATGGAGGACTTTGAAACTGCGAGTCCATCAGAGGGAGAAATGAGGATTGTTTGTAGAGGAGAATGGCTTTGCAACAAAGTACACTGTTACTGTGGTGTTTGAATAGTTTCCCTGTCAGTTAGGATTTTTTGTTAAACCTGTCTTTGCAGTTATGAATACTTCCCTATTTGTTCATATTTGTAAGGATGAAGCCAAAAGCCATTATGTATGTGCATTTGAACTAAATACATGCACTGGAAGTATATTAAATAGCAAAAACAGAAGTGGCTAAATTTCCTCTCTCTGTATGTTAACGTGAGTGCTAAGTCCAGTTCATATTCTCTGCTCATTGCTACCATTTATTTACAGCAACACCTCTACAGACTGAGACCAGAGAACCAGCACTATTCTTAGTTCTCTTAAAAATCCCCTCTACTGTTACAGGATGTGTTGTTTAACCTGTGAGAACGTAAGAGAGTGAGGAGCCCTGTGTGGTTTGTTTGCCTATGGGTGGGTGAAAGGGTGGGACGACATCATCTGAGTGCCATGCATACTGGAGCAAGATTAACTATCCCTGTGCACCAGCTACCTGCTTGTCAGCTTCAATTAACATAGACTCAGTCTAGCCAGCCGAATATTTGTGTTAGATGTGGCCTAGTATTGCATGTTAGCCTGCTTTTTTTTTATATACGTCCACATTTTGTATGTAATGCGTTGATTTTACTTGATTAAAATGTGCACATCATTTCCACATGAATTAAATAAATAGCATGAATATACCACAGTTATAATTAAGTGGTGGTGATAGGAACCAGACGTCCACCTCTAAAAGCTCCCTCACAGAAAATGTATTATATGAAATGGTCATGAATTCACTGCCTGATGTCTGAGGCATTGTTTTATGACAACTTTGAGAAGGTTTTGGCTTTAATTGTTGTTCAGTTTTCTTAAAGAGTCCATATCGTCCATTTTTCATGTATTGTGTTTTTCCCCTGATGAGCCCTTGTAACATTTGTGTGGGGTTACACATCAAAAATAATTCATTTTTACATGACCGACCTCTTTAAGTCCCTTGGAATTAAACAGTTGCTGTGCCTTTAAGACTGACATATATAAATGACCACTAGTCAGATTGGCTGCCCCTTATTCAAAAAGCAGTCCAGGCTGAAACACTGTTTATAACTTCAGCATGAATGGGCGGGGCTAAACTTCAAGTAAATGACTGTATGGGCCTGTCAGTGGTGATGTCCTCATCTGATAATCCTGTAGTGCATCTAGGCTTAACCACATCAGTGAAACAATGTATGAAGCCTGCAGTGAATCCAAATGAACATCTGATTGTGATCATTTTCAATTGTTTATCCAGTTATGACACTGTAAATGCACCAAAGCTCAGTAGAGGCCTCTACACACACACACCACTGACACAGCCCTGCCAAAGCTAACAGACCCAGCCCCCTCCATCTGTGTCTGTGTGCAGGAGAAACTCCACCAACACTCTGCCAGCAGCTTTGCTTGGAGAACTGCTCTACTACTCTCTGCAACCTTCTCAACATCCAAGTAAGGCTTTGCTTTTGTTTTATTGCGTCATTCTTGTCCAGTATAAACTGGATTTGATTTGGGTTTTGGTTTTGCATTGACTTTGCATTGGTTTTTATGTCGCTGGGCACAAAGAAATGAATGGGAAGACTGTTCCAGCCCGTCTGGAGTAATAATCCAGTTTATGTTTACATGCTATTAAAGGGAAAAGTAGGTTAAATGCACTTTCCTGCCAGGAATGCTGGCATTTGCCAGCTAGGTGCTATTCAAAGTCCAAGTTTCTTGCCGTCCAGATGTGAATGTGAAAGCAGACGTCGTGTTCTGGTCACTAGCTGGGATATAAAAGTGTTTTTCCACACTTTTTTTCGCTGTTAAGAAGCTAAAGTTGCAGCGTCTTGTTCGAATTTTCCGCTCCACCTTAAATGGTGCAGCAGTTCCATTGGGGCGCCTCAGGCGCCCCAATGGAACTGCTGCACCATTTAAGGTGGAACGGAGAATTCGAAAATTTAGCCTCGCTTTGCAGTTTACGCTGGTGGAAATGGTTTAAATCAGCTTCCAAACTAATTTATCTTTGGTTAAAAGCTTAAAATGTTTTATTCGCCCCTGTTTTTGCCATAAAAAAACTCGCATATTACTGATTTATGAGAGCTGTAACTGTAATCCAGCTCCTTTATCCTAATGCTGATGTTTGGTGCATGTAGGGAAACACTGAAGAGGACATTAAACCTTTTCATATGGTGACTGAAACCAAGAAGTGGTTATTAGCAGGAAGCTGACAGTCATGCAATACACGTCAAGCTGAATCTGTAGCATATTTAAACTTATAAATAGAACAAATGTGTACATCAATACAGAGACAACTGAGAAAGCAAGCTGCAGCATCAACAGCCAAGATTATAGCTTCTCATAAGTGCCTCAGACTCTGATCTCATTTAAAAGACTGGTGGTTGATTTAAAGGGCCCGTATGCTACATTTGCCCTGTGTTTTTTGCATTTATGATGTTTGTGTGGGTTCATGTAAGTCATAATTCATATTTATATGAACATTTTCCATCGTTACCTCCCCTTAGGCTGTTTTTGGTACTGTGCCTTTAAGACTAATGCATGTAAACGAGCTCTGTTCTGATTGGCTGCCCCGTATTTTAGAAAGGTTCCTCATTCAAAAGGCAGCAGAAGGAAAGATTGCTTATAACTTCAACGTGAACATGAATGGGAGGGGCTAAGCTGCTGTAGGCCAAATGGGTGGACATCACCAAACAGTTAATTCCAGATGGGATGTTTTTGGAGTTTAGTTTTCTAAATATGAACTGAGAATTGATCAATGTTTGCCGACAATATCAAAGTCTTTTTAAAAAAAACAAACAAACAAAAATCCAGTGTTCCAAGATATGGGCCCTTTAATGAACTTCCTTCACCACTTCCTTCACCACTTCAAAGCAGTTTCTTACAGGTGTGCGATTATATTATATGAGGTTATTAATCAGGTCTTCCTAAATTCTCTGAGCAACATTTCCCTCTGTCCAGAGCATTACATCATCAGATGCATTAAGGCTGCCTGATGGGCATAGCTGGATTGTAAATGCCCCCAAGGCCTTCTTCGCCTTATGCATGAGTCCATGTTAAAGCTGCAGGCTCATTTTCACTAATAGCATGAATACAACCCTGATCAACATGCTGTTATTGCTGTAGTCCTCTATGGATGATATCTCTTACTTTTATTGCACATTGTTTATTACATATTTTCGTGTAAAATGCTCTAGGAGTCCATTTAGTTTATGATGGCTGCTCAGAGGATCATATTCAATATTACAGTACAAGCAGAGACAGAAAAATCCTCCAGAATGCTCTTAAGTCTTCACCAGATGGTTCATTAAGTTTATTGTTACTTTCCTGTAACCTCTTATAATCCCAGGTTTATTACATACTAAAGCTTATTATTCAGTAACTACAGGGACTTCAATGCAAACTGAGCTATTCTTAGGTTATAGAAGTGTGTAATAAAACAAAATATAGCTCAAAAATATAAAAATGCAATATAGCTTCACATGGAAATCATATTGAATCGTGGGGTGCCTGGAAAATTATATTCCTAGTCATGCACTGAAACGTTGAACCCTTTCCTGTCTGTGATCCAGTCATCATGGTGACCCATAAGGAGTTTGAGGCAGCAGGGAAGGAGCCTGGTCTGATGATCTGGCGCATCGAGAACCTGGACCTCAAGCCTGTTCCCAAGAACCTCTACGGCAACTTCTACACCGGAGACGCCTACCTGCTGCTGTACACCACCCGAGCCCCCTCCTACTGCATCCACATGTGGCTGGGTGAGTCACGCAGCTCTGCTCATTGTTTTCAGCTTTGCTTCTAGGTCGTTGGTTTGGCTTGACCAGAGTTAAAGAGTAAATGAACTGCAGCCTTATTATTCAGTTGCTGATATTGCTGTTTATATTAATTACATTTATTATTCAGTAACTACTATTAATTATTTAAAGTATTCTGTGTATTATTCATTAAATCTGAAGAATTATTCAATATCTACTACGAATTATTCAGTAATTATTATTAATTAACTACTTTGAAATATTCAGTATCTACACTGAATTATTTCGAAACTGCTCTGACATTCAGTGTCTGCAGTGAATTGTTCAGTAACTGCAAATAATTATTCAGTAACTGCAAATAATGATTTAGTTAGTACTATAAATGTTCAATAACTGCTATAAATGATCTATTTAGCTATGAATTATTAGCAGTTACTGTTAAACTAATGTGTAAGTGCTTTTGAAGAGGTCTTGAAGTGTAAACAACAACAGTTGGTAAAGGTGCGGCAGTTTCAATGTAATATCGAAAAATCTGAAAGAATAAATTGTAATTCAAATTTAAAACAGTATTGCAGACAAGTCCCTCGCCGTCTTCCAAAGGTCCCACGTTTGCCACCTTTTTTTGAGGACAAATATATCGCTGCTGTCTGAACAAAACCTTGTATCTCCATTTTTGTTGTTTTTCAGTTTTTGACATAATTTGAAAATGGTTGTTGTCCTTTACATTGTGTGTAAATTTCATGATGAAACAACCAAAAGAAACAGCTCAAAAATACTTGAAAAAATGTCTGGTTCCATTGACTTACTTTAAAAGTAAAGTATGTTTTTTGCTTCTCCTGTAAAGTTATTATTTTGGAGATACGAGGTTTTGTTCTGACAGCAGCGATATGTTTGTATTGTTAATAGCTCAATTCCACTGTTTTATAAGATCATTATTTTGGAAGGATGTGCTACTTTGCAGGCAGTTTTAAAATAAATTGTCTTTTTTCACAGGCCAAGCCAATCTGTATAGTACATAATTACGACGGAGACATTTTTAACAAATGAAATGTAAAAGATAGGATTGAATCTTGGCCTCAGAATTGAAAATTGCATTGAACCTAAAAATATGTACAAAAAAAAATAAATATATGCATTTACACCTCTGACAAGTGCCAGGGTAGTTTTCAGTGGTGCAAGCACAACTCCACACCCTCCGTTTTTTAAATACATTAGGTGTTTATAGTGCTTTCAGTAAATTCATAGCTGGTCCTGCTGCAGTTGAGATGCTTGTGTAGTTCCTCTTTAACATTTTAACAGATGATGGACTGTCCTGCCTTTTTTGTGTTACCTCAGTTCGATGAGGAAGGATGTGGTTTTCTCTGTACAGAATGTTCAGATATCAGACATACTCAGTGTTGTCATTCTTCAGCTAAAGACAGCTGATGTGTTCTGAAGTGCTTCAGTGTTAATACTGTGTTTATACTCACAGCTGGAGCTGAGGGATGTATCTTAGTAGGGCTGTCATTATCGACTGTATCATTAATCAATTGATTTATTACTTATTTGGAAGGTTAATTGAGCAGCCAGACTCTGTTAAACAAAATAGAATGTGCAATTTAATAGATTTTCTTTTTAATTGCGTTGACTTCTAAAAATAAACAAGGGCATAGAGCCCCTAAAGTGCCATTGTGTGTGTCTACAAAGTGCCATTGTGTGTTTATATCTATCTATATGTCTATATCTATATCTATCTATCTATCTATCTATATATATATATATGGAGTTCGTCCCCCTTTGCATCCACTCTTCTGAGAAGATTTCTAAAGTATTTTGGAGAGTTTCTGTGGAAATTTTTGCCTGTTTATCCAGAAGAGCATTTGTGAGGTCAGACACTGATGTTGGACGAGAGGGCCTGGCTCACAATCTCCATTCTAGTTCATCCCAAAGGGGTTGAGGTCAGGGCTCTGTGAGGGCCAGTCAAGTTCTTCCACACCAAACTCACCCAGTCAGGCCTTTGTGGAGCTGCTCTGTGCACTGGGGCTCAGTCATGCTGGAACAGGAAAGGTTCTTCCCCAAACTGTTCCCACAAAGTTGGAAGTGTACAATTGTCCAAAATGTCTTGTTCTGCTGAAGCATTAAGATTTCCCTTCACTGGAACTGAGGCTTCTAGACCAACCCCTGAAAAACAGCCCCATATCATCATCCCTCCTCTACCAAACTTTACAGCTGGCCCAGTGCAGTCAGGCAGGTAACGTTCTACTCGCCAAACCCAACATTGCATTGCATGTTTGCATTTCCTTGTAATAGTTTTGTGTTACAAGGGAATGCAAAATAATTGCGAGGCTTTGCAAAATCATTGTGAGGGAGCGTAATTGTATGTACACGCTTTTTTAACCATGGCCCCTTAGGGGATCCGTAAAAGATAGTGATGCTATAGGAGAACCATTTTTGGTTCCCTAAACAACCTTTCTGTGTATGTTTCTTTGCAGAACCATGTTTGTTAATGACGTGCGAGTATGAAGAACATTTTTAAAGTTTAATGAACCTCTAAGTAATACAAATGTTCTGTACCAATAAAAGGTTTTATGTTCTTACAGCCATACATCCAGGCCAGGAACAATTTAGGGTCTTTTATTTTTGAGAAGGTATTCGTGACAGGCCTGTATCTTACGCTGTTTTCTCATGCTTGTTAACATTTATAGCACATAGTTTTGGTCAGCTTATGCTTAAGCAGCGTTTCTCCACTCTGGTCCTGCACTTTCTACTGTTTTCCCTGCTCTCAACACACCTGATTAACGAATCAGCTCATTAACAGCCCATTATAGAGATAAAGAGGCCGTGTTAAAGCAGGAAAAGCACAAAAAAGTATGCTAACCTGCGGGTTTGTGCAACTGCTGCTCAGTGACACACCCTCAGAGCATGACCCTAATCAACTGAAGAGTAATTTTCCTTTTTTTGTCTAGTACCGAACTCCTTCCCATGAGATGAGCTGTCTTTCTTTTGATGCGCTTAACATACCAATCATAACAGCCACCACTAGACCTCATCCAGATGGTCTCGTTCAGCAGCTTAGTCATTACAGCTCTGCAGAGCAGAAAGCAGAATTTCTTCTGGAGTTGTGTTCATGCGGTTTAGTGTTTGATGATGTTCCAAGAGATTCCAAGAGATGAACTTTATGATTTATGGTTTATGATTAATGCTTTATGGTTTATGATTAATGCCCCACCCCCCAAATTAAAGAGGAATTTAATCAGTGTTTTCAAAAAAAATCTCTAAAATGAAATGGTTTTGATGTAAACAGTCATTCAGAGCGGTTTGGTGTGAGCAGTTTGGTGTTTCTAGAGAAACTTACCGAGTCGGAATTGTTCACAGTGGTGGTGAACCAGACGTCCACCTCTGAAAGCTCCCTCACAAAAAAAAATTACATGAAATGGTTATGAATATGCTGCCTGACGTCTGAGACATTGTGAGACATTGAGAGGGCTTGTAAGGCAAAATAGTCCAGAAAAAATCCATAGCTATTTTTGTGTTGTAGACATTGCGACTTCTGGTTCCACCACTGTAAAGGAATCTGAGTCTATAAGTTTCTCTGCACTGAACCGTTTCACATTAAACCACTGAATTCTGCAAAAAGTTTTTTGAAAAATTTCCGATCCCCTTTAACCCCACTGCTTTAACCTATAGGGAGATTACCACGTTAATACAGAGCAATCCTGCAAAAAGGTGGGGAATTTGATGATGCTATTATTATTGTGAGCGATTACATCAAGAGATGCATTTATATAATGAGAGTGTATATTATATGAGTACAACCCCATTTCCAAAAAAGTTGGGACGCTGTGCAAATTGTAAATAAAAACAAAATGCAATGATGTGCAAATCATTTAAACTCTATATTTCATTGAAAATAGTACAAAGACAACATATCAAATGTTAAACTGAGAAATTTTATTGTTTTTTGAAACAATATTTGTCCATTTTGAGTTTGATGCCAACAACGCATTCCAAAACAGTTGGGATGGGGGCAGCAAAAGGCTGGTAAAGTTGTGTAATGCTAAAAAAAAACACCTGGCGGTTAATTGGTAACAGGTCAGTAACATCACTGGGTATAAAAGAGCTTCCCAGAGAGGCTGAGTCTTTCAGAAGTAAAGATGAGGAGGGGTTCACCAAATAGTGCAACAATTAAAGAATAACGTTTCTCAACACAAAATAGCAAAGAACTTTTGCTTTTCATCATCTACAGTACATAATAACATTAAAAGATGCAGAGAATCTGGAGAAATCTCTGTATGTAAGGGACAAGGCTGACAACAAGTACTTGCTGGCCATGATCTTTGGGCCCTCAGATGGCACTGCATTAAAAACAGACATGATTCTGTAGTGTAAATCACTGCATGGGCTCAGGAACACTTCTGAAAAACACTGTCTGTGAACTTAGTTCATCACTGCATCCACAAATGCTAATTAAAACTCTAAAATGCAAAGTAAGAAATCATTTATAAACAGGATCCAGGAATGCTGCCACCTTCTCTGGGCCTGAGTTCATTTAAAATGGACTGAGGGGAAGTGGAAAAGTGTCCTGTGGTCCAACGAATCAACATTTGAAATTCTTTTTGGAAATCATGGACACTGTGTTCTCCGGGCTAAAGACCATTCAGCTTTTTATCAGTGCACAGTTCAAAAGCCAGTATTCATGATGCTATATGGGTGCATTAGTGCACATCGTATAGGTGACTGGCACATCTGTGAAGGCACCATTAATGCTGAATGATATGTACAGGTTTTGCCAACATGTGCCGCCATCCAGACATCTTTTTCAGGAAAGGCCTTGATTATTTCAGCAAGACAATGTCAAACCACATTCCGCATGTTTTACAACAGCATTGCTCCATAGTAAAAGAGTCTGGATGCTAAACTGGCCTGCCTGCAGTCCAGACCTGTCACCACTGATAACATTTGGTGCATTATGAAATGAAAAATACAACAAATGAGCCCCTGAACTGTTGAGCAGCTGAAATCCTGTATCAAACAAGAACAGGAAAACATTTCACTTTCAAAACTACAGCAGTGCCTCCTCAGTTCCCAAACACTTACAGAGTTTGTTAAAAGAAGGGGTGATGAAACACAGAGGTAAACATGCCTCTGTCCCAACGTTTTTGGAATGTGTTGTTGGCATCAAATTCAAAATGGGCATATATTTTTCAAAAAACTATAAAATTTCTCAGTTTCAACATTTTAATATGTTGTCTTTGTAGTATTTTCCTTTAAAAATATGGTTTACATGATTTGCACATCATTGCATTCTATTTTTATTTACATTCTGCACAGCGTCCCAACATTTTTAGAAATGGGGTTGTATATGATTGGTATGATAAGCACTTCCAGAACACTGAACACCTGCATGGATCATAAAAAGACTGATTTAGACCAATTACAGGCAGCATGTAACAACAACAACAACAACAACCAGTGAACAGTAACTGCATCCACTGCATAGTAGCTGATTGGGCAGCAGCCCATTAACCACTGTATTATATCTTTTCTTTAAGTTCTGCTTGATTCCTCCTTTTAAATTACAAGTCGAAAATGGACGTGGCTTAAGCCAGAACTGAGTGTGAGGTGCTGGAAGTTGGTGCATTTACTGACCACAATGGATTGCAGCTCTTTAGGAAGTGCTGACGTCAATAAAGTGCGTACAGAATGTAATCTAGACACGCAATCAGCGCACTTGTTGGCTCACCGAGTGGCTTCTTAGGGACTGAGGTTTCATGAGTTACATGTAATGAGTACTCAGTGGTATTGAAGCAATTATTGGCTACCTTAACAGTTTTCAGTTATTCAGTTAAATCCAGAAAAACATGGGGTTACTAGAGTTCCTGGAGTGGAAAGACTCCTAACTCGCTCTGTGTAGTTTCTCAGGGTTTCCATTTGGTTCTTAAAGCTCTATAAACAGATCCAGGCAGGGGGTCTCGGGGGAGTGTGCTGGCAGGTCTCCTTATGTCTCTGATGCTTTATTGTTGCCAGTAAGTTGGAGGCCAGTTCTGTGCAGTTCTGTGAAACTCCTTCAATGTGCTTCAAAAGTCTACTAAGACATTTTCAACACAGCGTTTTAAGACTTATTATCCATTAAAAACTATGATTTATTCTGTAACTACTATGAATTATTCAGTATCTACTACTAATTACTCAGTAACTAGTGCAAATTATTTCTGTAACTGCAATAAATTACTCAGTAACTACTATGAATTATTCAGTATCTACTATGAATTATTCAGTATCTGCTATAAATTACTCAGTAATTACTATGAATTTTTCAGTATCTACTATAAATTACTCAGTAACTACTGCAAATAATTTCTGTAAATGCAATAAATTATTCAGTAACTACTATAAATTATCCAGTAACTATTATGAATGATTCATAAACTACACATTATTCAGTAACAACTATGAATTATTTAGTATTGAGTATAAATTACTTAGTAACTACAACTATGAATTATTCAGTAACTATTATAAATTACTCAGTAAACACTATAAATTCTTCATTAATCTCTATAAATGATTCAGTAACTGCTATACATTATATAATAACTACTATAAACCATTTTATTAATACTTTGAATTATTCTGTAACTACTGTACAATATTCAGTAATTCTTAAGAATTGTTCTGTATATTTATTATCTGCTATGAAACTGAAGTTCACTAGTTTTGGGCCAAGGCAGGATTATTTATACAGCACCTTTCATACACTCCTGTCATTCAAAGTGCTTTACAAATGAGAAAATAGAGTTTTAAAAAAAAAAATAAAAATGAGAATAGAAATCAAACACATGGTTAAAACAGTGTTAACAGTGTTTTAAACTGAGCCAAAAGCTGCTCAGACAGGAGCGTTTTGTCCAGTGTTGGGGCTCTTCTAATGCTCTCGGTCAGCTGGTTGGGGGTGAGGATTTGAGCAGTGTACCAACAAAGAGAGCTCAGGAGGTTAAATCACAAAAACAGATGTTAAGACTGTTGTTTTCCTTTTTTCTGTAAAGTTACCGTTTCAGAGATGTAAGAGTGCACTAACAAATGTGTGTACTGAATGTAGTAATTCGCCTCTGTTTTCTGCTAATTTTCAATGTTAGGGGAGGAATGTTCTCAGGATGAAAGTGGAGCAGCTGCCATCTTTTCCACCCAGCTGGACGACTACTTCGGTGGGAAACCAGTGCAGTACCGTGAGGTCCAGAATTACGAGTCCCTCACTTTCCAGGGCTACTTTAAATCAGGGATCAAGTATAAGGTGGGAATCAAATGGCTCTTTCACAGAGTATCATTCCGTACAAATTGCAGGACTTAATAGTATATATATATATATATATATATATATATATATATATATATATATATATATATGTACGTACATATATATATATATATATATAACTTTATGCAGTGTCAACCAGTTTCGTTCACTTTTATCTGTATAGCAAATTTTCTCGGAGGACATTGGTGCAAAGCAGACTTCTACAAATCCAAATCCAGTTAGATGGTTGTACTTTATCTAATACTGAACCCAAAGCAATTATGTTCACAGTTTAATAGAATTGGAGCCACTTCCAAACCTCAAAATCCAGCAAAGCCAGATTCATTTCTCTTTACTTTTATGTTCTTTTACATTTTTTTTTTTTTCTGTGGTAAAAACCTCAAGCCTAACTCTATTTACAGTAACGTCTCCTCTCAAAAGTGATATAGTGAAGTTACATATGTGGTCTTGGGTAAAAGTTTGGGTGTCCCTGGTCAAATTGTATTTTTGGTTGGTTTTTTAAATGATAATAAACTAAAACATTCTCTGCAAGGAACACAGTTCTGACATTTTTAGTGCACAATTCCAAAAAAATAAAACACAAAAACATAAAAAAAAATTAATTGTGCCCTAAAATTTGCAAAAATATTGCATATTTAAGTGTGTTCTCAGTAGAGGATGTGTTAACTTATTGTCACTTAGAAAATCAACAACACACATGTACTTTGACCAGGGTGCCAAAACTTTTGCGGACGTCTGTAGTTCTGTAGTAATATAATTGAATTGTGCACAGTTATACAACGGATCATTCCGGTCCTAAAATCTGATTGGCTGAGATGCTTTCAAGCTGTTGTAAAATTCATGATATACCCTTCCTATGACCACCTCACAACAACTACACCATGGCACAAAAAAACCCTTGTGCTGTTAATAAAATCATATTTGACTCTAATGCTGCTCGCATGGAGGACTGAGTGCACTGACGAAGTAAGAACCTGTTTTTTGTTTAAACTTTTGACTTATGTTCTTAACTAGAACTCGGCTGGTCAGATATCTAACAGTCTAAAAGAGCCAACAGCCTAAACACCTTCATCATTAATATTACAGGTTTGAATTAAAGCACTTATAGTATGATTTACTGTAAAACAGCAGTATAAAAGTCTGAAAATGTCACTTGAATGACTTACACACTTCAAATGTCCGTATTTTAGTCAGAAGTAGCGTCAAACCCAGGCTGAATCCCAAACGGCTCTGTACTCCCTAAATAGTGTGCTTGATATGAAAGTTTAGTAATTCTAGCCTCTACAGACAAACAGTGCATCATTTATCGAGTGTGGATGTGTCTGAGTCCCAAATGACTGTTTCTTAGCTGTATTTTGCTCTGTTGGGCTGCAGGATCCAGTAGTTAAACTCCTACGTAGTGCACTATGTAGGGAGCAGGGAGCTGTTTGAGATTCAGCCCCAGCGTGAGAAGAGGGCGCCGCTGGATTGGTGCTAAATGAGACTCGCGGTGGTAATTTGGTGACCAAAAAGTACTTATAAAGCGAAGGTTTTGCATTAAACAATGCTGTGTTATTATATGTTCATGGTTATACAACAAAAAAGTTTTAAAAAATCATGAAATTACTGGAATATACAGCGATGGGCGACTGAACGTTCTCTTCATTCAGCGGTCCATAGTTGCTTGGCAACAATGCCATACTCGAAGGGAGCTACATTTCTTGGCGGAATTCTTGTTGATGTCGATTATTATTAATAATAACTTCAATTATTTTCTAAAAAATTGTGTATTTTACAATATTTTATGTATTATGTAGATTCATCTTGGCGTCGTGCCTAAGAACACCCTTTCCGTGATAAAATCACAGTAATGCGTTATTATAAAGCTGCATTGTGAGGTAACACATTAGTTAGTATACATAGGTAATATAGTAAGTTATATAGTAATATAATAAATTTCTGTATAGTTATACAGTAGAATTCTGAAGTTCTATAACAAGTGCGAGGCAGTAAGGACAGTGAAGGTGGGATTGGATAAGGAAGCTCGCTGTATCGTCATGTAGCCTGGAAAACCTGGAATAATGTAAATCCAGTGTAGAAAATGAAAAGAGGCTGAGGCTAAAACACTTTCTGCTTTTCTGTAAAATGTGCTTCAGCACTGAAGGGAGTGCCAGCTACAACCAGAAAGACAGGTACAGTGCTTGTGTGTTCTCTGCACGTTTTAGTCTTGGTTCCTGTTCCGCAGATCCGGACCAGCCATCAGAGTCTGATTAGCTTGACTTTTACTAGCATGATTAAAACCAGGAAAAGGAACAACTATACACTCTTAAAAAAGTGGTTGTACCAGAGTTTTTAGTACAGAGAATTTTTGTTTAGAACCGTGGGTTCTATATAGGACCACTTGCATGCTTAAATGGTTCTTTGCATGGTGAAATGGTTCTTCGGATTCATGAAGAATGTGTTTTATATAAAAGCTTTTTTCTACTGTTATAAGATTGACATCGTGACAATAGAAAAACCCTTTTTTAGTACAAGATAGAACCATTTTCAAAAAGGTTCTGTATAGAAACATATACAACACATTCTACATCAATCTGAAGAACCATTTCACCATGCAAAGAACCCTTTAAGCATGCAAATGATTCTATATCGAACTCATGGTTTTATATAGAGCCATTCTTTTTAGTGTAAAACCCTGGAAGAGCCGTCTTTTTAAGAGTGTAGGGCATTCATTACTTCAGTTATGCAACATTCTTTCCACCACAAACATGCCGGTCCCGTTACCGCAGCAACTCCAAGACAAAGAAATGCAGAAAGTGGGCCTGTTTTTAATTCACCGCTTTGTACCAGCAGTTTCTTCAGTGCGAAAAAGGCAAGCTGAAACATGGGTTTTAAAAAAGTGCAACATATCATCGCTGTCCAAAGAAAAACAAGTACCTCCAAAATAGTAACTTTACAGAAGAAGGCAAAACCACTCTTACCTTTCAGTGTAAGTCACTGTAAAGAGATTTTATTCCAAGTGATTTTAGAGCATTTCCATTGGTCCATTTATCATGAAATGTTCACACAGCGTAAAGGACAGCTGGTGTGTTGAAATGATGTAGAAAAATAAAAATCGATGAAAATGGAGATACATGGTTTTCTTTGGACACGACGATATAGTTCGGAAATAAAATGAACAAACAGAAATATGTTTGAAAATGTGAATCCATATATTTTTGTTTTTTCATCAATTGCCTTAACAATAGTGCAGTGTAGTTTTACCAACTGGGACGGCTTATAAAACACTAAAACACTATTGTTTTGTAAATGTTATACGTTTAAAATGATAGACAGACCACCAGACTCAATGGAGCATATGGCAAAAACACATGACTAAACAGCTGGACAGCACATATCAACATCAAGCACATCAACTCAGAGATAAACAGCTCAAAACCAGATTCAGCCCGTTCAAAAACACAGCATTCAGCAAATACCACTGAATATTTAAAATCTCCAAAAATAAGATAATAGAAGTCTAGCAAAATGACACACCAGTAGTCACTGGTCAGGCATAACATTATGACCACCTCCTTGTTTCTATGCTCATTGTCCATTTTATCAGCTCCACTTACTATATAGGTGCACTTTGTAGTTCTACAGTTACAGACTGTAGTCCATCTGTTTCTCTGCATACTTTGTTAGCCCCCTTTTACCCTGTTCTTCAGTGGTCAGGACCCCCATGGACCCTCACAGAGCAGGTACTATTTGGGTGGTGGATCATTCTCAGCACTGCAGTAACACTGATGTGGTGGTGCTGTGTTAGTGTGTGTTGTGCTGGTCTGAGTGGATCAGACACAACAGTGCTGCTGGAGTTTTTAAACACCTCAGTGTCGCTGCTGGACCACAGTAATTGTAGAACTACACAGTGCACCTATATAGTAAGTGGAGCTGATAAAATGCACAATCAGCGTAGAAACAAGGAGGTGGTCGTAATGTTATGCCTGATCGGAGTATTCAGACCTGTAGCCTCAGCGCTGAAAGATCATAACAACCAGAATAATCATAATACTATGTGATACAGCAGACTATAAACCATACTGGTAAGTTTAAAATGAGATAGCATACAATTATAAAACCACTTTGGGGATCCTCACCAAAACTTTGTTATATATAAATATAATAATAATAATAATAATAATAATAAATTATGTCTATTTAACATTTCATTTTTCAACATAAGTTCTCTCAAGTGGGTTCAAAGTTAGTGCCTCAGCTGTATTAGCTGGTATGTTACATTAGCCGTGTTTAGTACACCTGATTCAAGAAGCATTAATAAGTATATAATTAAGTTGTCGCCACTTATTTTAAACGATATGTCAATTTTGTCTAGCCGCTAGTGATGGGAGTCGATTCCAAAAGAATCAATTCAGAAGGATTTTTTGAAAACAGTGTTTTGAGCCTTTTTAGTCACTTTTGCTAGACGGTAAACATCATTAACTCTCATTTCTGGTAACTCCTCTGAGCACAGTGTTAAAAAAAAATACATGACTAATCTGTTAATCAGGCTGTTGTTGGCACTACACTAACTAGGCTGTCTAACATTGCTTTCAAAATAAAATTGGACAATCGAAGTGACTAAAAATGGTTTGCACGCTATATTCAAAAAGCAAAAACACTGAAAATATAGAAAAAATGTAAGATAGCAGTGTGGAAAAGGAATATATGTCGTGCTAGATTGTACGGCTTGTCCAGTTGTGGGCGGAGCGACATCAATACACATTTCCATTATGCGAAATAGGCTGATGGTAAGGCATTAATCAGCTATAACCATTTGTTGGGCGACCTGATATTTAAGCAATAGAACACGAGAGGGAGTGTGTTATCACGAAATAACATCACAGCTGTGATTTGGTTGCAGTAGATCATCACAGCCGTGATGTTATTGGCGATAACACACTCCTCGAGTGTTCTATTGCTTTTATACAACAGTTTAAAAAATAAAGTAATAAATTAATAAACTGGGCCGTGAACGCGGCGTTTAATATGCTTTAATGTTCGCAGTTCCTTCACCAAATTATAGTTCCTTAACGAGCAGCTTGTTGCTACGTCAGAGTAACGAACTCCGCCCACTCGCTGCTCAGCAGGCAGTTTATTCTCCAGCTCCTTACACTAAGGGCGTTCAGTCGCCCATCGAGCAGCTTCTCAGTCGGCAGCTGTGACAGAAGAACAGCTAAACAACCTGGAATCAGCCAGAAATGAACCCAACACCATTCGCCAAACTAAACGGGCTGTAAGATGCTTTACAGACTGGCTGGAACAAAACAACAATAATACTGATCTGGCAAAAACTGACAAAACTGAGCTAAACTTGATATTGTGGCAGTTTTATGGATCAGTCCGATTTGGTCAGACTCTGAAGATCAGACTACACGTTTGGCGAATGGTGTTGGGTTCATTTCTGGCTGATTCCAGGTTGTTCTTCTGTCACAGCTGCCGACTGAAAAGCTGCTCAGTGGTGATGACAGTTTGGGAATTTAGTGTCGTCTCATCTTCAGAGTCTGACCAAATCGGCTGTCGGTCAAATGTGATCTTAGAAGTGTCCATTTTCTGCTTGTGGCAAAGTAAGAAGTAAAAACGTTCAAATGGCTTGAGCGTCTCCTACAGCTGTCAAAGTCATTGCTTAGCAACGGCATCTCAGCGGAGTGATGGAGTGTTTGTGAAAAAACTTCTAGAACGCTTCTCAACCAATCAGCTTGCGTGGCCGGAACTAACTGTTGTATAATACTTGGTATAATCTAGGAATTTTCATCACTATAATGTGTAGCTACTTGGAATTTGAGTAAACTCTGTTAAGGACAGTTTATGTTTTCAGCAGGTGCTGCTGTCTGTTTGATACTTAGACTTTGGCCATAGATGTAAAATGAATGTTGCCATTTTTTTACGTTTTGTATTAAAATTGCATTGCACTGTGGTGCAAGAACCACAACAGATATCACGAAATTTCTATATTGTTACATCCCTAGTGTTGCTGTGTTTTTAAGCCTCATACGCCTTTTTTCAAAGAAGTAAAATGTATATTATATAATCACACGCCTTTAATTCACTTTTTCTCCTGTTTCTCATTCCAGAAAGGTGGTGTTGCATCGGGGTTCCATCATGTGGTCACCAATGAGGCGAATGTGAAGCGTTTGTTGCACGTTAAGGGCAGAAGGGTCATCAGAGCCACTGAAGTGGACTTTTCCTGGGCCAGCTTCAACAAGGGAGACTGCTTCATCGTAGATCTGGGCAAGGTACAGTTTTCTGAGTCTAACAGTTGAACATCTATAGCAGAAAATGACCTGCACTTAGCAGGTGGTGTTAGCCTGGTTTCTGTGTACATTGTGATAAGAAACCATTTGAGCTGATGCTTTAAATCGTTATTAGATCTACTGAATGAAAATGTAGTTTTAGTTGCAGTTAAAGGAACTGAAATATAAAATTTAGCACAAAAAAATCTGTCAACATTAAGGCTTCAAGATGGCTGCTGCTACTACAGTTTGTAGCTATGCTAACATATTTTTGCCCATGTTTAAATGTAACAGTGAGTCATACAGTGTCAGAAATCACATAATCAAGTCTATTTGAGATACTGAACAACTTCACATGGTTTGAGGCAAGTGACTGATGATTTAGGCTTGCAGTTAGCACAATGCTAATCAGCCTGCATTACTCGTAGCTCCAGTTCAAAACTGAAGTAGCAAATGCGGCTTGGCTGATCGAAAATATCCAGATTAATATGCAGTTCCAGTGATGACTGTCTAACGTAAATGTCATTTTTATTATTCTGTGTTTTTTGTACTTGGGATAACATAGCAACAACCTAGCAGCAACCTTAGCAACCAACTGGGATACCAGAACAACGGCCTAGCAACAACCTTAGCAACCACCTGGGATAACATAGCACTGGCCTAGCAACACCTTAGCGATAACCTGGGATAACATAGAAACAGCCTAGCAACACATTAGCAATAACCTGGGATAACATAAAACTGGCCTAGCAACACATTTGCAGTGACCTGGGATTCCATAGCGACCGCTTTTTCAAGCCACCTTAAAATACGTTCTCCAACTTTCCCCGTCTGGTTATTATAGTAATCATTGCTAACAACGTGTCGTATGTGGCTTGTATGTTTGCAGGACATCTATCAGTGGAAAGGCAGTGAGTGTAACCGCTTTGAGACGGTGAAGGCCTCTCAGGTGGCCATCGATATCCGTGACAACGAGAGGAACGGCAGAGCCAAGCTGCACATGGTGGAGGAGGAGGCGGAGCCACAGGAGATTATTGCTGTGAGGAAGAATCCTCTTATTTCTGTGATGCACACATTACTATAGGGAGTGAATAGAGCTGCACTACATAAGATGGTTTTGGAAGACAATGTTTTGAGCTCTACTCACTTTTGCTGGAAGACAAACACCATTAACTCTCAGTCACTGCGTCGTCACATCCGGCTGTAAATAGTAGCGTTATTGAACTTCTGCCCGTGCGCCGTTTAACAGAGCGGCAGTAGAGGGTTGCCGATTTTTAGCATCCCTCAAAAAACGTCCTTCGGCCTCAGTGCGGCTAATAGAAGAGCAGTTTGCGTGTCTGGTAGGTCCTCTAACATGAGCAGAAAGGCTAGTCTGACGTGGTCAAAGCACGTCACGCAAAACTTAAAAACATTTGGACTCTGTATGAATCTGCGCGTCTGCCGGTGTGGATCCCGCAATGGAGCCATGGATCCCACGTCTGAAAGCGCATCTCAGTGTCAAAGCAGGTGCATTTAGACGGCGGAACGTATTCCGCAAAAATCCAAGTCGGAACCATGAGGACGGGTTTTGCACAGTGGAGAAGGAGCAGAGCGGATTAATATGTTCAACACCACGTCACACATCCCTAAACAGATCTGCACTCACTGCGCTTTATTCTGGAGAAAAAGTCCACCAGGTTTAGTTTTTCCTACTCAGCCCATGTAAACATTAGCAACATTAGCAAGAGCCCTGAACACTATAACCAGCTCAGAGACACAGAATCGCATTTCTACAGTACAGTTACTGATCACTGAGCTGCAGTGGAGAGGAGTCAGTTTCTCAGGGTTTTAGTCAAACCTCTGTGACGAACATCTCCAGGATTTTAAACACAGCAGTGAATGAATGTTTGTCTTGGAGCATTTTTAATCACAGGTGTGAGTAGATCTGTCCTGTACAGCCCGTTTTCACTCTACAGCTCAGTTTTACTCAGCTACCTCGTTAAATGTGACACATGACGAGCGACGAGTTGAACATTTTTATACTTGATCGAGTGGAAACTCAGGTGAGGCTGTTCAGTTGAATTACTGGTGCATTAGGAATCTCTTCCACATTAACAAACATGGTGTGAAAATAGTCTATAGCTAAACTTGCTCTGTGGCTGTAGGCTTGATAGCATTGAGCTCTTGAGGTGTTTGCTAATGAGAATGTGTCGTCTATGGTCCTAATGAGAGTGTTACGACCCGGTCTAGGTCGGGCCGCAACATAAAAATAAAGAGACCTCCGTGCCCTCCCGGTTCCCCAGTCACACAGACAACCAATTTTTGCGACAATAACAATTTGGCTTTATTTTCAAGAGTTCAAGGCTTTAGACGTTTATGAAACTTTAGGGAAGGGTAAAATAACAATCAGCGGTCTAATTACTGCTAGTTTAAGAGATTTTGGGATGTACCCAAGGCTAAGAGAAGAGTTTATTATTGACAGAATAGGCTTGGTTATTTCTGGCAGAATTTCCTTGAGTAAACCTGTAGGAATCGGATCTAGCATACAGGTAGATGATTTCGCGGAAGAGACTATTTTAAATAGTTCATTTTCTTGGAGTAAGGTAAACGATTCCAGCCTCTCTGCAGGAATTATAATATTTTCAAGGTTGAGGCTGGCATTATGGGAAGCAGGTTTCTAGAGTTTAATTGCGTATTCTGAATTTTCTGCCTAATTTTTTCAATTTTATCACTAAAGAAATTCATAAAATCGTTGCTGCTATAGGCTGATGGCATCTGGGGTTCACTAACTGTTTTGTTCTCTGTTAGTTTAGAGATTGTGCTGAAAAGTAATCTAGGATTATTCTTATTGTTTTCTATGAGAGAGGAGAGATAAGCTGAGCGTGCTGTAGCAAGTGCTTGTCTATAGTCTATAAGGCTCTCCTTCCAGGCGGACTGGAACACTTCTAGCTTAGTCAGGCGCCATTTACGCTCAAGTTGTCTGGCGTTCTGTTTTAAAGCCCGAGTGTGGTCATTATACCAGGGGGTGAGTTTTTTCTGCCTTACTATTTTACTTTTTAATGGGGCCACACTATCTAGAGTAGATCGAAAACTATCCTCTAAGAGCTTGGTCATAGCATCTAGCTCAGTAGGATTAGATGGACAGATGAGAGCGGCTGATAATTTAGGAAGGTTTCTAATAAAGCCACCAGCTGTGGAGGGAGTTATTGTCCGCTTGACACAATAACATGGTGATGAACGCACATTACCACTAAAGTGAGTTTCGTAAGAGATTAAGTAATGGTCAGAGACTGCTGTGCTCTGGGGGAGAATGGCTAAGTTATCTATGTTTACACCAAAAGTCAGTATTAAGTCTAGAGTGTGGTTGTGGTAGTGTGTGGGCCCCTTTATGATTTGGGTAAAACCTATGGAGTCTATGATAGATATAAATGCCTTGCTTAGTGCATCTTGGGGATTGTCTAAATGGATATTAAAATCTCCGACAACTATTATTTTATTTGAAAGCGTTATTAGACTTGATAGAAACTCAGAGAATTCCTGTAAGAACTGAGAATACGGCCCTGGTGGCCTGTAGACTGTAATTAGTGTAAAGGAATTTTTATGTGTTCCTTGATCACTTATATTAAGAAAAAGAACTTCAAAAGAAGAGAATGTATAGCCTACTTTCTGCCTCACGCCTAAAGCTTTAGTATGGATGGTTGCTATACCTCCACCTCGGCCGCTTAAACGAGGGCTATGTGCATAGCTGTAGCCTGGGGGTGTGGCTTCGTTTAGACTAAAGTAGTCATCGGGTCTAATCCACGTTTCTGTGAGGCACAGAGCATCAAAGCTGTGATCGGTAATAATTTCATTAACAACGACAGCTTTAGGAGTAAGGGATCTTATATTAAGCAGTCCTAGTTTTAGACCAAAGGTGCTGTCACTGCAAACTGGTATAACTGGTCTGATATTAATCAAGTTACTGAAGCAAACTACTGAAGTGTTTACAGTATACTTCAGTAAAAGTGTAACGGCATGAGCAAGCTTTTACAAAAACCTCAACGACAAACAGCAAAGCACCAGTAAACCATACACCGGTAGCCAAGCTCTCACACCAACACAGCTCTACAGCAGTAGTGTCGCTCAAGTGACTGCAGGGAACCGGGAACACGACAGAAGCCACGCCAGAAGCAAAAGCACCACACTTCCTCCTGGGCGTCTCTCTTTTATTGGCGGCTCCCCCTGGTGGTGGCTCAGTGTATCTTCCCTCGGCTCTGCAATAAATACAGAAGACACACTACAAAAGAAAAAAAAACACTATGACCCATAGGGTCATAACAGAGAGTCAGAGAGAGAGAGAGTGGAGAACAGAGGTGGGGGTAGTGAGGGGCTTGACTTGCATGGCAATCAGACCGAGTGTTGTTAGGTGTGTTGGTGTGATGCTGTTTGCCATCTGACCTGTGTCAGAGTCCCGGTATGTGAATGAACTCTAATGACTCTTCCTCAGGCTCTGGGCCCCAAACCCACCATCGCCCCAGCCACACCGGACGATGAGAAGGTGGAGACGGGCAACAAGAAGAAGGGGGCGCTGTACATGGTAACACGTTTTGCTCCCTAGCAAAGGCATGAGTGAAGTTTTGTGTCCATCCGTGAAACTACATTTTCATTTAACCTCTTATTGACCAGGGTATGTTTTGGTTTGTCCAACTGAATTTACATGACCAAATCGTAAGGCAAATTATTCAGTAACTGCATGAAATAAATGTAAATTTTGTAAATGTAAATATGTAAATGTAAATAATTTTTTTTTTTCATTTTTTTATTTATTTATTTTTTGTAAAAGTTCCCCTCAAATGAACAGAACATGTGTTTTATGATCATACACATATTGCTATATGCTTACAATTTACTGCTGAAAACCAAAAATCTTAGACGCTCTTTGTATAATTTTATAAAAATAATGTTTACAGAGCAGATCACTGAAGAGACGCCACCTGTTTATAGTTTATAGCCCAGATTTGTGGAAAAATGGGTCGACTTTCAGTAGACAAAAAAATTGTGAGTTCAGCTTCTTTTATTATAAGGGTTTAAAATAACATTACTCATCTGTTTGACTGGAAAGAAGACAGTTACAGCTCTCATACGACCCCCACCTTTAGAATGTAGCTCATGAAATATGAAAGTTATGAAGAATATGACGAAGTGCGTTTTGGAACCACCGGTGGTTCCAAGGAGTTTAAGAGGTTAAACTATATAACAAACATAAAATATATAAAATGGATGAGAGTGCAGACTCAGTTCATGTTTCAGGATGACTGCACCAATGCTACTTGGCTTCCATTACTGGCTAGCTACATTAGCCTTGTAGCCCCAATGTTAAAACTAAAGAAGTAAATGTGGCTTTGCTGACCGAATACATTTTGAGATAGAAGTGAGCGATACGGCAAAAACACAATATCATGATACTCAAAGATGTTTTCACAATATTACGGGTGCAGCAATTCACAAGAATCACAATTCTATACGATACAGCAGTGTTTGGATCAATTTTTCAGTACAGCAGAAATAAGGAGTGGCTGAAATTGTGACTTGTGTTAATATTTTAATGTTTTCATTTTCAGTTTATTAGAACATTCAATAATATGAAAATGTAATATTTGAAACCAAAGTTGTTCGCTATAGTGTCTGGATCTAACACTCTAGTGAAATGCTAATGTTAGCCCTGAGCTAACATATTAGCCACAAGCTAACATGGTAGTCATGATACAATGATACAGTAATTTTATATAATACAATATGTTGTATTGTTACATCCCTACATAAGATATATCACAATATTTTGTTTTTCTCAGGCTCATGCAGTGCCATGTTTAAAAAATGCTATGAAAAACAATGAATACAAGGATTTTTATTCTACAGACAGCATACGTCTGCATATTTCAATGTACAGTCACTGTTTATTTGCTGAATTTCACATATTTGGGTAAAAATAGGACTTACAGTGTGGCCTGTGTAAAAGTTATCGCCCATTTTGTATTTTATGTGTATTAAACTCAGCATATAAATAGAAATTTTGCACTGAAAGTTGCAGAAAAACGCCATATTGAAGTTCCCTGTAGAGGATGTATTTTTTTCACTTAGAAAACCTACAAAACCTGTCATTTGACCAGGAGCATTTAAACTTTTGCATTCAGCTGTATGCTCATAAGACTAACTGTGATGTAATTTATCATAATACTGTAAAATATTGTCATATTGCCCACCCATAATCTGAGATTATCTAAAAATTAATGCAGATTTAGACATATATGTGTCCATAAGCTCCTCTTTCACTTAGCTGCATTAGCCTCGTAGCTCCAGTGCAAAATTACAGAAGCAAACTAAAGACACAAAACATGCCTTGATTGATCAACTACAGTTTTGGCCGAACTACTCATGTAGTAAACCAAGAATAACAGTGTGCAGAGTATTCAGTGTGGGATTGATTAATAGAGTTGGTTTAATAATAATGGATTGATCTTATATTTTCGGTCCTTTTGTAGATATCTGATGCCACCGGCTCCATGAAGACGTCTGTGGTGGCACCATCGAGTCCATTCAAACAGGCCATGCTGTCGCTTGAGGAGTGCTACATCCTGGACAACGGCGTGGATAATAACGTGTTTGTTTGGAAAGGTGTGGTTCAGAGTCGTTTACGATGTTTATGGTGGTGAGCTCTGGTACCTGACAGAACTTTCCACTTTCCCCTCTCACTGGGTGGAGAACACTTTCTTCAGGCGCTCAGCAGCAGGCAAACCTGCTACTTTAGATTCTTAGGATTGTTTTGGTTGTGGTTGCATGAGAGCGTGTCCTCGACGTCCTTCATCTGAGTTCAGAACAAAAGAGTGAAGACTTTCTTTTCTGTTAGCTTATTATAACAGCTTATGACTATAATATTATAAAGAGTGTTTTTAAAGACTTAGTATAACTATAATATGATTATAACAACTTGTTATAAAGGCTTAAAACTATTGTTTTAAAAAAGCTGTTTTTTATATAAAGACTTAATAATAATCTGTTATTGTAGTTTTAGCCATGTTATGACTATAACAACTTGTTATAATCAATTAAGTATAACAACTATAAAATAAGACTTTGTACCTACAACATGCAGACAAACATGCAGACTTATAAATACATATATATATACTATAATACTACACAGACAGTTTGACTATATTATTATTGTAATGAATGTTGTTATAAAGAACCACTATATTTATTATAAAAACTTTTAAAATGAAAAAGGATTAAAATCATTATTTTAATAGTATATTGTTGTATTATATTACGATAATATTATAATGCTATAATTTTTAGGCTATTACAGTTGTTTTATTAACCCTGATGTTATGCAGAGTTATTATAACTACAACGTATTATAACTATATTATAGCTTTTTATAAACGCTGCATGGCCTCATACATTAAAAATCACAGAATTAAAAATTAGTTCATGTTATGTTTATAATGTACACATAATGCAAAAAATATAACAAGGTCCATTCAGCTTTTCCTCTGTTTCTGCTCCAAGGTTCAAATGCTAACGTTGCAGAGCGCAGAGCAGCCATGAAGGTCGCACAGGATTTCATCAAAGAGAAGAATTACTCCAGTAAAACGCAGGTGCACAGCCTCATATCCATCACCTACAGCTGCACACCATGCGTTCAGTAGTGTTTAATCACTATTTGCTTTATAAACCAAGTGTTTTAGTGTGTAACTGGATATATGATGCTTATACAGCATAAGAGATATATGGTGAAGTACTTAAATAGTGAATAAATCTACTCTAAAATACTGAGTACTGAACTAAAGTACTGAGTTCTCAAGAACACATAACTGACAAAAAATTGCTCATAACATGCAGTTGGCAATTGGTCAGTTTAAACTGGAAAACAACAAAAATGGAGATACCATATATACGATATATATATATATATATATATATATATATATATATATTAGAGATGAAACGGTTACCGGTTTCACGGTAAACCGCGGTAAAATTAATGACGGTTAGTAGTACCGTTTGAACTTTAAAGTATCGTTAAAACCGCGGTCGATTACCGCAGTGTGAAAAACTCGGAGATTCAGAGATATTTCAGCCTTCTAAGAAGACCAAATCTGACGTTTGGTCATGTTTTGGGTTTTATAAGGATGCAGAAGGAAAGTTAATTGAAGATGACCACCCTGTCTGCAGAACAGGCCTAAAGAAAACAGCGGCGAAAGGGGGCAACACATCAAACCTTACGAGTCATCTTCACGACCACCACCTGCTACTTGCAAGAATGCAAGGTTAACTTTAACGGAGAAGTCTGTGGACTTCGAAATAGAAGAAATGTCAAGGTCTGTGTGGTTTAACTTATGCTTATGGTTCGTTAATAATATAAAATGAAGCTTTTAGCGTCAAAAAAAAGAAAAACAATCGGTGAATCAACTGTGAATCGAAACTAAAGCTTTTAACACACATTTCTGTGGAGCAGAGTCTCCAAAATGAGCTCTGGAACGAGACACTGCAAAAGTTCAATCTGCACAGCTCCGCTTTCTCGTCTCGCTTGCAGTGTTTACTGTCTGAGAAGAGAATAACACCGTCTCAAATCACTGTGTCCCCTACATAGTGCGCTACTGTTCAAACAAGCACGATCATCATTAACCAGCAGTTGAGTTTTAAATAGGGGATTTGTAGCCTGTTGTTAATGTTGATTATAGATGACTTAGTCGAACGTTTCTTGCACTCTTTGGGTGAAGGATTTGCTATTTCATGATCCACGAAGTGCACTACATAGGGAAGATAGTGTGCTTTGAGACGGGACCTCGTGCGAGTAAACGCTGTGTTTCAGAGATTAAACTTTAGGAGTGTTGCTGTCGCAGCTCAGATGCGCGTTAATTTTAAGTTATGTTTTAGTTTTAAAATGCTTTTAGAGAAGCAGCTCCACAGGTGAAGACACACTGTGTGAGTTCTACACTGTCTGCAGCTCACAGCGCGTCACGCAGTTCCTCTGTGATTTTGTTTTTCCTGGTGCACTGTATTGATTAGGGGTTCAGCGCCACAACGGCACAATATGCTGCAGTTGCAGTGAGGACAGAAATCCCCCGAGTGCAGCACGTCTTAGAAGTAGTAATTTTCCATTAAGACCCACCTCAGAGTTGGTCGCAATTTAATTCTCTATGCAGGGAAATCCCTAGTTATTGTAATTATTAATAATAATAATAATTATTATTATAATTATAACAGTTATAATAATAATAACAGTAATAATAATAATAATAACAGTAATAATAATACATTTGCTATTCTTTTGTTTACAGAGTATTACAAGTATTGTAAGTAATACAAAAGTAATACTAAAAATGTATTGACCTTATTTTTTAATGTTTATGCAAACAAAAAGTGCATATTGCTGCCAATTCTATTTGTGTTAATATAAAAGTTGGTGAAACAAGTTTCAGTTTGTGTATCAGTATTTATTTTTTTATTTATTTTACTTTTCAACACATTTGAACAATATTGCGATAATACCGATAATCGTGATAATTTTGGTCATGATAATCGTGATATGAAATTTTAATATCGTTTCATCTCTAATATATATATATATATATATAAATCCTGTATCTCTATATTTATGTTTTCCAGTTTTTGACATAATTTGAAAATGTTGTCCTTTTTATTGTGTGTAAAATATATGTATATATATATATACATACATATATATTTCATTTAGCATGTATGGTAGTTATAAAGATAAATAAACATATAAATGAAGACTGAAAATCGTCAGCCATTAGCTATTGTAACTTAATCATAACTGGCCATAAAAATCCATGATTGGTACACCTCTACTGTACACATATTTTTACATATTTTTTACTTTGTATAGCCATAATTAAATCATGCTATGTATTCCATCTAAACCTGTACAATATTGCACATTTTTGTACTTTATATTTGTTCATGTATATTAATTACTTTCTTTGTGGTAAATTCGGGCATTAGCCACAACAAATTCTTTGTTTATAAAAACATGCTTACTTAATCAAACAAAAGATTCTAATTCTAGTTCTGGCTGCTCGCACATCTTACTGTGCTATTTCCAGTTTGAGTCTGTTGGCTAAACTCATAAAGGAAGCAAATGTTCTGTATTTACAGAGTAACCTGTCTCTGTCCCTACAGATCCAGGTGCTGCCAGCAGGGGGCGAAACCACTCTATTTAAGCAGTTCTTCTCAGACTGGAAGGATAAGGACCAGACCACGGGCCCAACCAAGGCTTACACCATCGGCCAAATCGCAAAGGTGGAGCAGGTCCCCTTCGACGCCTCCACCCTGCACTCCAACAAGGCCATGGCTGCCCAGCACAACATGGTGGATGATGGATCTGGAAAAGTTCAGGTGAATAGCTAGAAATTCATTCTGACGAGAGAGGATTTTATTAAAAAAGCTTCAGGTAACAGCAGTTAACCCATCGCTTCATGTATTAAAATCACAGTCGTATGCAAAAGATGACACGTCCCCTACAGAGCACACACTTCTGCACACTTTAATGCCAATTACTGTTGCTAAATCTAACTTTTTTGGGGGAAAAATAAAACATAAAATGTGGCCTGTGCAAAAGTTATGGCACATTTTATATGTTATGTTTTTTTCAACATTCTTAAAAAGAAATTTTGAACTAAAATTTGCAGAAAATTGTTCTTTGTAGATCAGCGTTTCCCAGCCCGGTCCTCAGGACCCCCTAGATGGTCTGCAGTTTTCTTTCATCCCTGTGTGTTGGGTTGGAGAAAATGTGGACCATCTGGGGAGACCCTGAGGACCGGTTGGGAAACACTGCTGTAAAAGATGTGTGCAAAGATGTGCAAAGGTGCAATGGGTCTACCTTTAAGTAGCTGAATTTATTCACTGTTTGGATACTTTTATACAGATCTTAATGTCAGTATTAATGCTTTTAATATTTAATCTATTACACAAACTCTAGGGGTCCATATGGGGGTCCACACTCCAGTTCTCCGCTCTCAGAACTCCAGAACTTACACATTAGTTTAATAATAGTTACTGAATATTGAGTCTGCGGTTTAAGACTATGCCTAAGCCTAGACTTAATAGGACTTATTAATCTGAAACACCATTTGTCTTGCAATTTAGTCCAAGACTAAAGTTTAGAGACCAGCCATTATACTATGTAGTCTACAGCCTAATGGACAAATTCATTAGATTATTTAGATCTGCATTCCTGTATTTGTTTAAAACCAGCTGTTGAAATGTTATCTCAACCAGATCTGGCGTGTGGAGGAAGGAGCGCGGGTCCCAGTTGACCCCGCCTCATACGGTCAGTTTTACGGAGGAGACTGTTACATCATTCTGTACAGCTACAAACAGGGCAGCCGAGAGCAGCACATCATCTACACATGGTGAGTCCACTCACGGTCCGTTTCTCTCCCTCATCAGTTCTATTCAGTTCCCACTGTAGTGGATGTCTTTGTCTATGGTAGCTTGTATGGTCTGTGGAGGCAGAAGCTCAAGAAAAGAGATTTTAGAGGGCTAACCATTTTGTAACTACAAAACCTCATAACCTAGAAAAAGGAAGAAGCTCGTATTTTTTTCCTGTATTATGTGATTTTTTCCGTGAGGTCCAGCTCATTTGTGATGTTTTGTTTAGCAAAAACTTTTTCCAACCTTAATGAAACAGACTGAGCTCTGTTCTCTTTAGCTTTGCTCTATTGCATCTTATTTAAAAAGCAGTCTGAACTGAAACAATCCTAGTTGTATATATATACACACCGATCAGGCATAACATTATGACCACCTCCTTGTTTCTACGCTCATTGTCCATTTTATCAGCTCCACTTACTATATAGGTGCACTTTGTAGTTCTACAGTTACAGACTGTAGTCCATCTGTTTCTCTGATACTTTGTTAGCCCCCTTTTACCCTGTTCTTCAGTGGTCAGGACCCCCATGGACCCTCACAGAGCAGGTACTATTTGGGTGGTGGATCATTCTCAGCGCTGCAGTAACACTGATGTGGTGGTGGTGTGTTAGTGAGTGTTGCACTGGTACGAGTGGATCAGACACAGCAGTGCTGCTGGAGATTTTAAACACCTCAGTGTCACTGCTGGACTGAGAATAGTCCACCAACCAAAAATATACAGCCAACAGCGTCCTGTGGGCAGCGTCCTCCGACCACTGATGAAGGACTAGAGGATGACCAACACAAACTGTGCAGCAGCAGATGAGCTATCGTCTCTGACTTTACATCTACAAGGTGGACTGACAAGGTAGGAGTGTCTAACAGAGTGGACAGTGAGTGGACACAGTGTTTGAAAACTCCAGCAGCACTGCTGTGTCTGGTCCACTTGTACCAGTGCAACACACACTAACACACCACCACCACGTCAGTGCTACCGCAGTGCTGAGAATGATCCACCACCCAAATAGTACCTGCTCTGTGAGGGTCCATGGGGGTCCTGACCACTGAAGAACAGGGTAAAAGGGGGCTAACAAAGTATGCAGAGAAACAGATGGACTACAGTCTGTAACTGTAGAACTACAAAGTGCACCTATATAGTAAGTGGAGCTGATAAAATGGACAATGAGCGTAGAAACACGGAGGTGGTCATAATGTTATGCCTGATTGGTGTGTGTGTATATATGTATATACATGAAGAAGTGGGTTTTTTCATGACATCACAAAGACAGTGACTTAAATTGAGTCATTTGTGCAGCTTAGTTAACATGTATGGACCATATAAACCGGCTATTTAACAATGTTTTCAAACTTATCATGATTTGAGCCCTTTAAAGTCAACCTGAAATCAACATTGGCCTTTTTTATCTGTCTATAGTAAGCCTAATTATTTAAATATATTATCTTGTAAAAGTCAAAATTCTTGTTTTCCCATAATTTTCCACAAGAACCTGATGACTTTTGCACCACCTCTAAAACGTTTCCTGACTTTATTGATGTCATAATGCACCAGTGGGCGGGACAAAGTAATACTACCCAATAATATCATGTTTGACCCCTTCCCACCACCACCACCTGTCATGGAGAGAAAACACTCAGCTAACTCAGAGACCCTCCCTGATATCATGATTCACTCATTAACATATTGCAATACAGAAGATGAATGAGTTATGATTTTCATTTCATGCTGACTTTAATGTATGTTAATGTAATGAGATTTGATTCCCAGGTTTTAAATTGGCCAGTTGATCAGTAAAAAAGGTTTCGATATGATAAAGGCGATGTACTTTACAGTGTGAAGTCTTCTGTACGCTATACATAGTTAATTACACAGTAATAGTACTGTCAGTGTGGTAACTGCAGGTGTTTGTGTGTTTACAGGCAGGGCTTGAAGAGCACACAGGACGAGCTCGCTGCCTCTGCCTTCCTCACTGTCCAGCTGGACGACTCCATGGGTGGAGCTCCTGTCCAGGTGAGATTTCAATTTCAGTACCTGAAGGTGGGTCTCCTGAGTGGCGTAACCATTGAAGCGGTGGATACTTTCGTTTAAAGGGTTGCAATTACGATCCACGGTGATGCCACAGCCATCCGTGTCTGGGAGCCTAGACAGAAAGTGTCCTCTCTCTCTCAGGGTGGATAGGATGGTCCTCCTTTTTCCCTCATCACTCAGCATGATGCTGGGCGTCTGTTAGGTGACGTAACCAGAGAACTTATAGAGAGGAGAATTACCACTCTGCTATTTCTTCTGGGTTTCTCAGACGCTAGAGGGCGCTCCCGAGCGAGTCCAAAATGAATGGGTTGATATGGAGCATTTGAGCAAAATCATAGTTTAATGTAAAAGAATACAATCATTTCCACACAGAGCAGCATGAAACTTTTTAACACTGCGGTTATATTTTTAAGAGCTTTTAAACTCGAGTTATAGGAGTTTGAAACGGCGCCTCATGTACGTCCATTACGTCAGTGAGCACGAACAGCCAATAAGCTGCTCCGCTTGCCAACGAATCAGCACTCACTAGCGGTAATGCCCGCCTTCTGCTGCCTGTATGTTTCCTTTTTTCAAAACCCGTTTACTGTAGAAAAAAGGAAGCATATAGGAAACTTTTCTTTGCTTTCTTATTTAGTGAAATACATCTTTCTCTTTCTAAAATTAAAGAAACGTTCTGGGCGAGTGATCAGAAACTATTTTAACTTTTCATTTTTAAGTGTTGAGCTCCATTCACTCCCATTCATTGAGGGCGCCCTCTTCTGTTTAGCAGTCCTGTTTTTGATATAATGGGGGAAATAGGAAGAGGCCAGGCTCCTCATAAACCGGCTCTGACGTAACAGAATTAGCAGTTAGTGTTCTCCTCCAAGCGTGTTGAGCTGTACAGTGATGTTGCGTTAGTAGCAGTTTGTAAAGACATGGTGGAGCCTCCTTCTTGGAGGAAGCACATGCTAGACTTCACCCTTCTAGCTTGGTCACATCATGTGAGAGAGGGAGACCTAGGGAGCGAATGGAATTGATTGATTTGGAGAGTGGAGAAATTGACAACTGATTTGGGGAGAAAAATGGGTAAAAAATAAAAAAAACTAAAGTCATTACAGATCTGACAAAACCTTTAAAGGGCCCCATAGTTTTTATGTCCCCCTTATAATGATCAAAACAGGCTGTTTTTGCCTGGGAGTGAATGGTAGATTTTGAACCTTCAACAAAATGTACACAGACCAAATTCTTTTATTCGAACATGCAAAGAAACAGTGGTTTTCCGATGATACGGGTTCTTTAAAAGGAGATCGGATTGTGTTTTGTATTATACTGTAGATTTACGTTCTGCACATTCTGCGTTTTCCTGCTCTCAGACACACCGACTACATGTGTGTATCAATGTTTAGGTACGTGTGACCCAGAGCCAGGAGCCCCCCCACCTGATGAGCATATTTAAGGGGAAGCCCATGATCATCCACAGTGGAGGCACATCTCGCAAAGGTGGCCAGACCCAGGCAGGCAGCACACGGCTCTTCCACATCCGCACCAGCACCGCCAAGGCCACCAGGGCCGTAGAGGTAAGGAGAGCGTCCAGCAGCTGTTCAGTCTGTAGGTGCTAGTGAATAACAGCTGACCAGTAACTGGACAAAAGGAATGGGCCACTGATTTTCTGTTCAATGTGATGCCAAGTAATACCAGGGCTAGAGAAAACTACTGACTCAGATTTCTTTACAGTGGTGGTGATGGGAACCAGGGGTCGCCATGACTACAACACAAATATAGACATTTTATTTATTATCCAAAACCACCAGTGAACCTACACGAGTCTTCTGAGTTTATATGTAATAAGTATGAATGTTGGGGACTATTTTGCCTGACAGCACCCTGTATGTTTCCCTCCACTGTAAATGGATTCATAAAAAGCCAAAAGCTTTTTGTAAAACTATCATAAAACAATGTCTCAAATATCAGGCAGCGTTCATAACCATTTCAACTTTGTGAAGGAGCTTTTAGAGGCATTCAACTCTTCAGACGTCTGGTTCCCATCACCACCACTGTAAACACAGTTTCTCTAGAATGGGGCATTTTACATCAGACCACTGTAAACGACTTTGTTTACGTTGCAACAATGTAATTATGTAGAAATTTTGAAAATTTAATTTCAGGTTATGTTCTTTAATACTCTTTCCATTGGAAAATGCTTATTATAATATAAAACTAGAAGAATAAACTTGGTATGGATAATTTTATGTAAAAATCAAATCATCATCAAAATCGTACGTATGAATACTTTTGTATCAATCAACCAGTCAGTGCAAGACAGCAGTGGAACCATTTCAGAGTCATAACTTCTTTTCTTTCTTTTCTACTTTATTTCTCTCTTTCTCTTGCCCACCCTGCACCCCCACTTCCCCCCTCATCGCTCTCTCTCTCCTCTCTCTCTTTCTCTCAATCTCTCTCTCCCTCCCCTTTCTCACCCTCGATGTGTCTCTTTCTCTTTCTTTCTCTCTCTCTCTTTCTATCTCTCTTTCTCTCTATCTCTCTCCCCCTTCCCCTTTCTCACCCTCGATGTGTCTCTCTTTCACTCTCTCTTTCTCTCTTCTCTCCCTCCCCCCCTTTCTTTCCCTTGATGTCTCTCTCTCTCTCTCTCTCTCTGTAGGTGCAACCTTGTGCATCCAGCCTGAACTCCAACGATGTGTTTGTGCTGAAGACGCCCGACTCACTGTTCGTGTGGAAGGGTGTGGGGGCCAGTGCAGAGGAAGTGGACGCTGCTAAGCATGTGGTCACCTTCCTGGGAGGGAAGCCCACTGATGTGGCGGAAGGCAAAGAGCCAGGTGAGAAGTTTTCCATTAGCAACTAGCACTGTGCTAATTCCACAGGATTCAGACCACATAGTCCATGTTTGGATTTGGTTGTAGAAAAACAGCATTTTCTCCTCATTTCATGGATCTAAAGTAACTGTTGTGTCAATCCAAGTGTCAATATTAATGTTCATAATATTTAAATTAATATTACATACTTAATTACATACTTAATCCCTTAAAGGAAATTCCACCAATTTTTCATAACAACAAAACTTTCACATTAGTATCATAGTAGATACTGAATAGTAAGTCCACAGTTCAAAGGGCTCAATATAATAATAGAATATATGTCGCTGGTGTCCTAGATCCAGATTAAGCCTAAGCCAGGGGTCGGCAAGTGTCTGAAGCTGCATCTTTTACTGCCCTGTTGCGGCTCCACAGCAGAATTAGATTTATAGGTTAGAATAATCCTCCTTTACAGTAAAATAATTCTGATGGTCATTTTTACAGTTTTAACAATAAATAAATGCTGGAGTTAATGTAGAACTGCTAATTCACCCTTTAAGGTGAGGTTGGTGCGCAGACTGCTGGTCACCATAGCAATGCAGTCAACAATCTCGCCAGCTAGTAGCGAGCGAAAAGGCAAAGAGAGAGATTTAAGACAAACATCGACAATCTGGAGAAGAATAGACTTATTTGCATGTATAATCACTCCAGCTGGATTCCTGATACGTTTAATCAGCAACGAGAAACTGTCAGACACTAAAAAGTGATTAAAAGTCAGCTTCTCATTCACTAGATTCTTGTTAAAATGTTTTCCGTTCCACCTTAAACGGTGCAGAAGTTATGTTCTGGCGCCTCAGGCACCATATAAAGTGGAACGGGAAAATTCGAACAAGAAGCTGGCGAATGAGAAGCGACTTCAGCCTCGTAAAAAGTCAAACATTGAGAGACGTTTTACAAGAAACTATTCTACTTTTGCGGAAAAGTTTCCTGCTGGAGATGCGAGGAAACAGATATAGCTGAGCTAAAGCTTAAAGCAGAGCAAAGTAAGCCTGCATTTTTGTTTATATGATATTCTTTAGCCTCTACTAGTACATTAACGCATACTGAGACATATTTACAGCCAAGATGGTAAAACAGACATAAAATGTTGTGGCTCCCAAGGTGGTTTGATTTTTGTTGAAAGGACAAAATGGCTCTTCTTAACATTCGGTTTGTCGACCCCTGTCCTGAGCTAGGACTTAACAAGACTTTTCAGGGTTGAAACATCATTTGCCTTGATGCAAAGTTTAGCAGTTGCAGTTTAGTCCAAGACTAGGTTTAATTTGTGTTCTGAAACCAGCTGTTAATATTTATATTATATTATGTAATATTAACTCTCTCTTGGGGGCTGATGTTCCTCCGTAGCGGGATTCTGGGCGGCTTTGGGAGGAAAGAAGGAGTATCAGAGCTCCAAAGCTCTGCAGAAAACCATCAAACCACCACGACTGTTCGGCTGCTCCAACAAGACCGGCCGGCTAGTGGTAAAAGACCTTTTTATTCAGATTTGCAGATCTTGCTCAGTTGATTAGTTTACTGATAGATTGATGAGACAGATGAGTCAGACAGATAGACGGAAGGTTTGAACTGTACAGTTTATACCATTTCTGTACACCGTTGTTGTTGTTGTTGTTGTCAGGCTCTCTATAACTAGTCAAAATCTTTGTTTGATCCAGATGTTTTCATACTCAGAAAAGCGTATTGTGGTGTAATTTCTCACAGCATCAGTAACATATATCACCCACACGCCTAGCGTCACTAGCTATGTTTACACGCAAAGATTTTTGCCAAAGATTCGATGGCTCCCACCATCTTGAACGTTATAAACCTTCGCTATGACGTGACGCACATGTGCAGAACATGCTTAAACTTCCTGATTGGGAATGTAATCAGATTCAGGCGTTTACACGGATATTATTCTTCTATTTAATGGATTATTTACTGGATTACCCACCTCGTTCAGTCGGATAGAAACTGTATTCCGAATGGCCTCAATCGGACTAGTCTATTCTGACTGAGGTGTTTACATGGACGTATTCTATTCCGATTGAGGTATTAGTTGGATCATTAACGGATTATTAGGCTTCATGTAAACGTGGCTACTGTACTGATGTGCTTTTGCAGAATATTAGCACTGTCCTGATTTGCACTCTGTTTGTCTCTCAGGTTGAGGAGGTGCCCGGAGACTTTACCCAGTCAGACCTGGCCACTGATGATGTCATGCTGCTGGACACTTCGGATCAGGTAGATGAAGCAGCTCCATTGCAACAAGAGATTTCAGTAACAAAAAAAACCCAATCCATGAATAACTCCATTAGGTCATAATTTACAAGCTAATCATGGTACTCTCATTTGTAGATCTTCCTCTGGGTCGGCAAAGATGCCAATGAGGTAGAAAAGACTGGTGCACCAAAAATAGGTAAGATACCAGGTTTGGTTCCCAAGTTGCAACATCTAATATTGTAGGGACATTTTACAGTAATATGCATTTGAAAGAAATAAATAACTGAAATGTGCAGCAGAAAACTTAATTGCGTTTGAAATTTGTAACAACTGATTTCAAGATCTTCATAAAAATGTTGAGTAAAAAGTTTCAAGTATTCAGTAGTAAGTATTCAATTTCACATGTTGGAGTAATTTAGAAGTCTTTCAAAATAATACATAAAGGGTCCATATCATGGAAACTAAGCTGCAAAAACAGCCCACTTTGAATAAATTGGGTTTGTGATGTCAAAAAACAACACATATACAAACATTCTTCTATTCAGCCTACGGCAGTTGAGCCCCACTCATTCACCCTGAGGTTATAAGCAGTGTTTCAGCCAGGACTGCTTTTTGATTGAAGCACGATACAGGACTGCTAATTGGAACAGAGCTAATTTACATAGTCTGAAAGACATAGTAACATAATTCTAATTAATAATTCTTAATTCTAAGGGATAAAGAGAGGGTGGAAGATGGGTATGAAAAAAATAATTTGCCTGTTTTTGTTGCATAAAATCACAGATGTAAGTGTAAGTGGACCTCAGTAAGGAAAACAAAATACAGGAAAATGTTAGATATGAGCCCTTAATAATGATTAATAATAATAATCCACCCTGCTTGTAACTCTGAACAATTTTTTGGGGGGCTTTTTTCATTTTTTTACCCAATTTGTAATTATTCTATGATGACTGAACTAATAGAAATGGTCACTTGTTTGGAATAAAATCTATTTTTTTGCTTCTGTAGAGTGTAAAATGCTTTTTTATGATGATGACCATATGTTGTAAATAAGCTCTGGCATAAAAAGGCTAACTGTGTTTGTTCTTTACAGCTAAAGAGTATGTGGACTCTGACCCCTCCGGGCGACGTGGTATTCCCATCACTACCATCAAGCAGGGGGCCGAGCCCCCCACCTTTACTGGCTGGTTCCAGGCCTGGGATGCCCAGATGTGGGACACTGACCTTCTGGAGAGGATCCGGGCCCAATTCTAACTCTAAAATCTCTTCTTATGCTCTTTGTTTTTGTTAATTTGCACTTAGCAAGCCTGCTGTGCAAACAGCTACTTTCACAGATTTCCACACAATGCCATGTCACAGATTATCACATCACAGACGGTTCCTTCAGCCAAGGTCATCTGAACTGATCTGCTTTTAACTCAGTAATAATGCCCACATTGTTCATGGCCTGGTTTCCCAAAAGCACTGAAGAACAAAGATTACTGTTGATTTTATCAGTGATAGACTACGGCTGATTAGTTTGACTGTTATTTGAGTAGTTTTTATAAATAGGCCTAACAAAAACACTTACCTGTGGCCAACAATTGCATAAAAGGGGTGTGTTCATCAGGCTCTGTTAAGAGAGAACAGTAAGAGAATTTAAAATATGCATTATCGTGCTAATTGCCAACTAATTGCTGCAGATTCATCAAAACATTTGAATTAATAATTATTTTGAATCAGTGGGTTAATCGATTAATCATGACAGCCAGTAAAGATCATCTTAGCAGTACAGTGCTTTTTAGGAAACTGGCCATACATAAACTGGTCCCACTTCATATTGTCTCTAATAACTGTGTAGTTACATGTGAACAACATATGCAACAATAATGTAATTACTAATGATTTAGTCACTGTTGCAGATGGATTACAGAGGTACACCTTTTGTAATTACACGTGTATCAGCTTCAGTTGTTATATAGGTACAATGCATTTACAGAGTGGTAATTATAGAATGGTAATTTATGTGATGTCATTAGGTTACCTTGTTACAACACAGTTATTCCACAGTAATTATGCAAAACAAATGTAATATTATGTTAAAAAAGACTTCTGATCTGTAGTGTATCAAAAAGAATATAATAATTACATGATGGAAAACTCAAGTTAATACATATGTGTAATTAGGCTGTACTTCTGTAATCCATCTGTAACATTGCTTAAATCATTGGTAGTTACAGTGTTGTTACATATGTTATTGATGTGTAACTACACAGTTATTAGAGACAATATAAAGAGGGACCCATAAACTAGCTTGTCTACTGCTCAGGTGACATCTGGCATCATAACTCACGAACCAAAGCCATAAACAAAGATAAGTAAGCACATAACTGGTCCAGTCAGTGATTAGATTGGTCAGTTACATGTCCAAAAATGTTGAAAGATGCTTAAAGTAGCGTAAATCAGGCTTATTCTTGCCAAATGACCTTTGTGTTTAGCCAAAAGTCCTCTGTTTACTCTTTTAGTCTTACTTAGAGGTGCGTATGGGCCTGCATTCATTGTGCCAGTGTAAGGGATGGGAGCCCTATGAAGCATGGATGATGTATTTTTAGGCAAACGTGCATTGCAGACTTCACCATTGTGTGTTTTTGTTTTGCTTTTAATAAACTTTTGATTTTAAAAAGTATCTTGTAGCCCAGAAGTTTATCTCAACTAATTTATAGCATAATGTGAACAATTTTGACTCGGTAAGTTTCTCTTGAATGGATAATTTCGCACCAGAACCCTCTAAATGACTGTTTACATCCTAACTAATACATTTTGAAAAATAGATGGAGGGGTGACGAGGATGGCTTAACGCTGATAAGATTAGCTGGGTTAATAAAATAGTTGCCTTTCCGCTTTATTCCCTTGTCTGAATGGCGGACAGTTTTGCTCGAACTGTGGAATAAAACAAAAACTCGTATTATATTATTATATTATACTTTATTATTATAATTAATAATGGACCAATCAGCCAATGAAATGTTAACAGATCAGCCAATGAGGGGTGGTGTTAGAAGGACAGTGCTATTAAACACTGAGGGAGAGTCCAACAAGGATCTCCTGATAATCTGACAGGAGAGGATATATAAACACAATGATTTGGCACAGAGAACTTGTAGAGAGGAGAATTACACTCTGTAATGTCTACACAGGCTACTACACAGCCTTCTGAATGGAGGTTCTCCACTGAGAGGAAGAGGTCGTCCACAAACGTCCTGTTTACAGTCCTAAACTAAGATCTGACAGTCAAGATGAGATTTTTCACTAATTCATATTACAGAAGAAAATCTTACCTTAATTTAGGACTTTTATCTTATCTTACAGCATCTTATCTCAAATTAGGGAATCCTAATTCGCTCAGTGGAAGTGGAGAATCCACTGTTATGTCTTACCGAGCAACCGATGATACACACACGGCTGAGCGTAAACATGTAATCAAAACAACGTAAACAAACCGTCAGATGTAGCGCGGAGAGGGACTGTGGGTGAAAAAGTGTGTGTGTGAAATAAAGTGTGATGAACTGAAGGCTTTAGAAAACTGAAGATGAGTTGAGAACAGTGTGAGTGCGCCCCCTGCTGTTCATCATTAACATTACTGCCGCTTCAATCAGAAGATCTTTCAGACTCTGTAATTATAATGTACTGTAATCAAGAAAAGTGTGTCGTTAATTCCAGGTTGTTTGTTCTGCAGCGTTTGTTCACGGTCGTTAGTCTGATAAGGACTCTTCTTCTGAATGCGTCAGAACAGGAAGAACTGAGTCAGTCGGAGCTGAAAAATTCCACTGGAGTGTGTTGGATATGGGAGAGTCAGATCTCGGCTCTGGAACACTTTAGGATGGTGCTAAGAGTGCAGCTGTCTACGTCTGATCATCACTAACCCACCGTCTGAGTTTGGAGAAGATCGGAGAAAGTCAACATTTTCACCCACAAATCCTCTCAGAGGGACCCCTTTGAGTTTTTTTAGAGAAAATTTTTGACTTTGTCCAATCTTCTCCAAACTCACACCCAGAGTTAGGGAGACCCAGACTTAGACAGTAGTCCTCTTAGTTTAGTCTGATCTCACACCAAAGCAGAGATCAGATAATCCGATTTCTGATACATTCCAGTCCAGTAAAGAGAGTTTGGGACAGTAGAATTTTAAAAAGACAGATACGGCTTCAGGAGAGAGACGGGCTGCATGGAAAACTACTGTTATAACATAAAAATCACTCAATTTAAAATGTTTATGAGCAACAAATTTTAAAACACACACAAAGGAACATCAGTTAAGTACTTTATTAAAAGAAGAACATTAATTAACAAGAATAAGTGACCGTAACTATATTATTACTGTGTTAGTGTTTAAACTGCACACAAGGAACACATTTACTGACACAAACATTGGGAGGCCTAAAGACGGACACAGGGTCACCACAATCGTAGTGTGTTGTCGGCCTATTTGGACACAGTGCATATCCAAGTTTGGTGGGGTCAACGGTTAAGGAGATACAGCACTTTGAACTCTTAGGCCTAAGAAACGTTCAAAGGGTCAAGGAGATATGTCCCTTAATGCCTTTGGTTATGTTGGGCTTCATTATAAGTCAATGGCAGGATGACACAAACAACCTACAATCATTATATTTCACGGAAGTTCCCAATATTTCCCTTTTCACGAGTGCACTTGATAAAAGTGACTGGCCGAAGACGGTAAGGGACCGTTTATAAAGTGCGGGTACTGCTTAAAAACGTAAAACATTCAAAGGAGCCTGTTGGTGTTGTTTTTAGAGACTTGAAACCAACTGAAATACAAATATGAAAATCAATAACTGACACTAACAAGTATGTATTTGTATCAGTTTAGTCTAAACGTGCATGTAGTGGACCTGCAGACGGAAGTGTTACAACTCTAACACAGTCTAGTTTTGAAAAATGTTACCAAACACGACTTGGTGGAATTGTATCATGCTTGATGAAGTGGTTATTAAAAAAAAAATAAATACTGCTACTTTCACAAAGTTTTGTGAAAAAAAAAAACAAAAAAACAAACTCAGACAAACCAGACAAACCTACTGCCAAATAAAACCACTTGTACTTAATTAAACAACATCATACAAATAAAATTCAAGCTTTAGTTTGATAAGATCAAATGAGCCTCAAATTAATTTTAATGAAATTAAAGAAAAACAAAAAAACTAAAACTGCGTCTGTGAGACGTACAGATCTAAAATCTCTTGAAGTGTACAGACACTCATCTGACACACACACTACAGCCTTTAGTTTAAAAAGATACGCCTTGAGTTTAAGACAAAAAAGTACTTAGAAGTGCAGGAAAGTGGGTTCAATGGAGAATCCAAGAAGGGAGGAGTGAATTTGGGTAAACAGACTTCTATAGTTCAGGACTGGCCTTAATAACAAGGGAAACATCTCGTGATTACTCATGAAGGTGGAGTCTAACCTACCGTACATGAGAAGAGTTGAGAAACAGTAAGTATTATCATGACTTTCTAAGCTTTTGTTTAAAGTATCCAGAGGACCATCAATACCTTTTCACTTTAGTGTTATGGACCCATAATGCATCAGTGATGGAGTTTATTCTTCAGCAGCAGTTTGTGGACGGCCCCCAACCAAGATAAACAACGTAAACAAAGAAGTTTATATGTTGGCCAAAGGAAAAGGTCTATCTTAACAAAGAACTGCTACATGAAAGGGGTCCATAGTTCAGGTCTGGTGTTTATATTCATGGTAAGATCTCTGAGTCTAACCCACCACAGATGAGAAGACTGGAGAAGCACTTAAGGTGGTTGTAGAAAGCTTTTTTAAATTTTCATCAGAAATTGACATTTCCTGTCCTCTGCTTGCTGAACCCCAAGATCCACTTCATTTTCCTTTAAGCATGAATCACTTTCTGAGGCACTAACTAGTAATAACCCAACCCTGGACTCTACCAAGCTCACCTACACTGAGTGTAGAACAAAGAAAACGGTGAAGGTCCAAGTTTATAACATATGAAAAGTTCTGAACTTAAAGTGATTCAAGACTGCTTTACATATTCGCAGCCTTTAGTGATTCTTTGATCCTTTAGTACGATAATATGCTAATTTCCTTTAATACCATGACTGTTTGACCACATGCGGCCTTAGCACTGTTTAGCAGAAGGTGGCTATTCTTATCTGCATTCAGTACTTTTGTGGTTTCAAACAGAAAGACTGTTATTTCTTTGCCCCATGTTGTAATATAGTGCTGGTTTTTACAGTTATGGTAAGAGCTCCTGAGATACTACGACCATGGCATTTTTAAACGTTAACTAGTTCTGATCAGTGAGTCTCAGCCACAATATCACGTGTAGTTATAATTGTTTGAGAAACAGCTTTGTATGTGAAATTTGACAGCTTACTGTGAAGAAAAACGACACAAAATACACAAAAACTCATTTTTCTGAATCTGTAATGCAGTGATTTATTTCTAACTCTGGAGGGCGATGATGAGCACAGTTGTGGAGTTGTGAAGGCAGCGGTGAGCTTTATTAGGTGTATCACAGGTTTTTTCACCAGCAGTTCAGAAGAAACACAGTGGAATTTGTTGCTCGAACTGTGGAATAAAACAAAAAACTCTGATTATTCTTTCAGTTTCTGTGTAAGACTTTAGTCTTTGGAGCTCCAGGTGGTCTTTTTACAAAAATGAGTTTTTGTAAAACAAGAGCCACTATAAATGAATCTACTCAGATTTTGGCTTCTTGATTGCACTCAATTATGAAAGCTAACGTTTATTTGCACAACATTTTCAATATCTTGTTCATTTTACGTCCCAATGTCTTTAAAACTGGCAAACTGAACTCTTGCTGGGTAGTCCGCTGGAGCCTGAGGTTGTCCAGTTTATTGTTCCAAGAGCAAACATTTGCGAGAAAAATGTCTAGGTTAGCCTTTAGCCTGGTCTAGAAATGCGGCTGGCTTTCCTGCTCTGCAGATGGATGATGTTGGTTTGACCGCTAGATAGTGCCAGAGAATTGTGTTATTGTGTTACGCTCAGTCAGACACTAGAGGGAGCCAGAGGGGTCTAACTTCAAATTCAATGTCAACCACAGGGGCGCTAGATAAAATTTAATTGCAGTTCACTGCAGTTGTGCACAAATTCTCTCTAACCACACAAAGCGATCTGAGCACAGAGCAATTAATCTTTAACAACGTTTATAATGTTGTAATATTACCACACTAACTGTTCTCCCAACAGTTATTTGCATATAAAAATTTCACTGTCCAAATCACAAAGTGTTGGGTCAGAGAAAAAGAAGTTGTACTTTTCTAGGATGACTATCACAGGCCTAAGCAGACTGTTTTAGCTATACTCTGTATATATACAGAGTATATATCTCTATACTCTATAGATAACGTCAGAGGGCAACTTTTATTTGCAATATACGAGTTTGAGGATCATTTTATTTTGTCATACTCTACTTTGAGCACTAGATAAGGTTGTTATTTTGAGTCAGACACTAGAGGTTTCTACCTTGCAATTCACTATGTCGACCACAGGGGCACTAGATACAATTTAACTGCAGTTCACTCAGTGGGCCTCAGGTATGGCCAAGGACTCATTTTCATGTAAACGTCTGCAATTTCGTATTTCGGCCCCCAGATGCAGCCAAAGTTTCACTAGAGGCATCAA